GTCCTGGGAAGGCCAAGACTTTTTTTATAGTCCATCCATTGAGAAATAGGTAAGCAAATTTTGGTGTGTTGTAATTACTATCATAAATTTTATATAGTCACTAATAATACTCATATACACAAAATTGTATGCAAAAAATGTTTAAATGATAATGAAAATATTAATTATAACATAAATTATGTTTACTGAGACTGCTTAAGTCTTAGGTATCTACATGGACAGAAATCAGAGCTTTGTATAATTGCAGTTACCATTAGGGAGTTCTTTATTTGTTCTGTAAAATATTGATGTGTGCAATAAAAAATAAAATATTAAAAACATAAACAGCTATACCTTTTAAAGTACTCAATTTGAATCACAAACATAAATGTAAGAGTATAAAACTATTAGAGGAGAACATAGGAAATCTCAGAAGACAACAATATAAAAACAATCCTCCTAAAAATAGGGGAAAATGGGAGCATCATTAAAGAAGATGGCAAGCACGCATATCATTAGAGAACTGCAAATCCAAACAAGGTACCAGTACATACAATGACCAACTTAAGGAAAAACTGAGAATACCAAATACCACTAAGGATGTATATTAACAAGAACCGTCATTCACTATTGATACAATTCAAAATGATCCAGCTACTTTGGAAGATGCATTGACAGTTTCTTACAAAGTTAAGCACAATCTCACCACACAACCCAGCAACTGTGATCAGAAGTATTTCCACAATTAAGTGGACAACCTGAGTTCATATAAAAACCTACACAGGGATTTTTTTTGCAGTTGTATTTGTAGTCACCAAAACCTGGAGATAACCAAGATGTCAACAGGTCAACTGATAAACAAAGTGTGGCTCGTCCACTTACGAGGCATAAGACAAAGTGAAAGCAAGCCATGAAAACCCACGGAGGAACAATAGGCACACGTTAAAGGAGCTAGTCTGATAAGATATATACTATGTTTTAAAACTCAGTGGTTACAAGGGATTTAGAAGAAGAAAAGATGAATAGACAAATCACAGGGCTCTGTTAGGTCAGTGAAGTGCCTCTGTCTAAAACTAAAGGTAGGTATGTGTCATTATGCAACTATCAAAGCCCACAGAATGCAGGGCACCAAGACTGAACTGTAACACAAATCATGCAGCTTAGTTAATGTATCAGTATGGATTAAGCAGTTTTAATACCATACCAACGCAAGATGTTATCAGAAGGTGAACTGTATGAGTGTGTAAAGGATAACAGAGGAATTCTCTGTACTTTTTACAGGTTATCATAAATTGTAAAAAAATATTGTTCTAATAAACAAAATGTATAGCTTTAAATCAGTCCAAGAATCCTATTTTATATAAATCCAATCTGACATTTTTCTAAGTAAAATTTTTCTGCTTCCAGCATTTAAGTCTCACTTCCCTTTATAGAATTTCCTTGTGTGTCACATTCCCTGGGTCATGTCTGTCAGAGTTTGGGGTGGGATAGTGAGAATGCAGACATATGTCCTTAGGCTGCCATCTGCTCTCCGAACAGCACCCCATATGTTGTTGGTGTATACAGTTTCCATTGTTGACATTTATGAATCAAGTAATTGTACTTTGATTTCTTTCTTCGCTTGAGTTAATTATGAAGATGTCTAAATTTCCAAGTGGTATATTTTTTAAATGTTACTAATTTCAGTTTCGTTGCTTGTTGTTTGAGATATGTGAACTGCATAAGTTCTACTTTTTTGGACTCCACTGACAGGCTTTCTTTGTCGTTAGTTTAGTACCTGATCAATTTTTTTATATGTTGTCTAGATAGTTTATATTCTTGTGTTAAATGCTTTTTTTTTCCTATTTACATTTTTGTAGGCCTTTCTGCCTGTAAAACTTTGAACACTCTTTGTTATATATATTTAGTGTTATATTACTTGTTACACCTAAGTTATCAGTATTCTACTACCATTATGTGTTGTATCTTTTATGAGACTAAATAATCTCTTTGTCACATATAAGGCTATTAACCTTAAATTTGATTGGTATTATGAAGTATTTCAACAAAAGCCCTTTTAAAGGTTAACTGTTTGATATGCCTCTGACCATCCCTCTATTTTAAAATTTTAATATTATTTGATATTATTGATTTCTATTCTAGACAGTATATAGTTGGATCTTAGGGGAAGTTGTCTGTTTAAATGAAGGTTAGGCCATGGTGAAGGTTGGGACATGGTGTTTAAGATTATTTCAGTACCTCATTGCAACCTTTCTATGCTATACTTTACTCTTTGATTATTTGTTTCTGATGTGGTTATTAATTGTGACTGGCTGAAACAAATATTCCTCTAGAACATCCACAATCTAATCCTTAGAATCCATTTAGATTACTTTATATGACAAAAAAGGACTTTTCATATGCAATTATGGATCATGAAATGGGAAGATCACCCCACAGAAACCAGCCCCCCACCTGCAATCCTTACAGCAAGACTGAGGGATCTGACACACAGACAGGACACTCCATATCCACAGAGGCAGGGATTGATTGCATTGATGTGGCCACAGCCATGGAATGCTGGCAGCTGCCTGAAGCCCAAAGACACAAGGAATGGATTCCTTGGATTCCAGGAACCCAGCCAACACCTTGATTTTGCCCCAGCAGAATTGTTTTGGCCTTCTGCTCTTCAGAATTGTGAGAGAATAAATTGATATTGTTTAAACCACCAAGTTTGTGGCAGTTTGTCGCAGTAATCACAGGAGACAAAGCAATTAATTTTTCTCCATTTTATTTTACTTTACTATAGTTAGATACATTTCTATCAAAGTAAAAATGGAAAGCTATCTAAATACCAAAGTGGAAATGCAAGATAACTCCTTTCTTTTTGCTCTCTCCCCTTACTGAACTCCCCAGATCTTTTCCTGAAATGTTCAATAGTCATTTACAACTGTCTGGTAAGCATTTTGCTGCCTTTCTTGTTTAGCATAGACGCTGCTGTTTTATCCTCTTTGGGAGTTTGTAATTATTCAGCTGTAGTGTTTTCTCGGTGAGGACTTTCAGGATGCATATGGGGGGGGTTATATTTCCTTCCTTTCTACATGTCTTTAAAAAGCTGTTTTGTACTTTGGCACAGAAATGTTGTTTACAAAATTCTTGGATTGTAATTTTTCTTTCAAAATTCTGAACATGTTCTCATAGTGTTCTCTGGCATTTCTTTTTTGAAATGCATTTCTTTATTTTATTTTACTGTGCAGAGATGTTTGAAGATGTTTCATCTCAGAAGTTAAATACTCTTTTTGATTGTATCTCAAAGTTCATCTCTTTTTGGTTAACTTTGCCCATTGCCTTGAAAAATATGTTTTGGTGACTCTGTTTCCTGTCTGAGATTCTGAACTGTATCAATCACCTCACTCAAGACAGCATGCATGCCCAAGACTCTTAGGAATGTTCTGCCAGGACCTTCAGCCTGTTGGCCTTCTCTTTCCCAGCCCTATGTAACGTTGCCTTTTCAGGTCTGTGTGGTCAGCCTCCTGTTCACGGATCACAAAAACCTCAGTTTTCTCTAAGGAGACACTGGTTTGAATTTTTTCTTTAGTCTTAGCCATGCACTATCTGATTCTCCATTGGTTGCTTTTTACATTAAAACAGTCCCTTTTTTATGTCCCTCCTGGGAGCCTTCAATCTCTGTTCATTCTTTATAACCCTCTCCCTGTGGCATCTTCCACAACATTAGTGCTAGAATGCATTGTGGTTGTGTTATAGAGATAAAAATAAAGAATGACAGTGCACAGATGGTCCCTGACTTCTGATTATTCAACATGTGGTTATTAAACTGCATGACGGTACAAAGCACACCCATGTAATCTCTGTTTTCACTTTCAGTGCAATGGTCAATACATTACCTAAGCTGCTGAGCACTTTATTATGAAATCGGATTTGTATTAAATGATCTTGCCCAACTGGAGGCTAATCTAAGTGTTTTAAATGCATTTGAAGTAGGTTAAAATATGATGTTCAGAAGGTTGGGTTTATTAAATACATTATTAAATTAATATGTTTCAACTTGCAATCAGTTTATGGAACATAGCCCCATCCTAAACTGAGGTACAACTGTATTGGGTTGTTATTTGTCTGAACCTCAGAAAGAGTAATAAAGATACAATTTCTGAATAAAAGTGAATACCTAAAAGAAAGTCAGTCTCTCATCTCTGAAGTTCCATCTTCCAGTTACTCTTTTATGTCCTTTAGACTTTAGCTACAAAAAGAGGTGTAGTGAGATACAGCTGGCTGGTAGAAATTAGGCTTCAAGTAACTTGGAAATTTCTAATGAGATCATCCTCTCAGACATATTCTATCTAATTAGGTTCTAATATGAACCCCTCGCAGAAGAGATTTTAACGTCTTATATCCCAATTTCCTCCTCTGCAAAGTATGTAAATAAAGCTGTCTCTAAGATATTTAGAGGGTATGGATGAGTTGAGTAAAAAAGAGAGAGAACAGGGAGGAGGAAAAGGAGGTTCAGGAGATTGCCCTATGCACAGTTCTGCTGGAGGCCAGGAGGAGGGAGGAAGCACTCTCAGGCTGTCTGAGCTGAAGATGATAAATGGCTCAGAACAGCATGTGGACTCCCTGAAACCTGAACCCTTCTATCACCCCCCAACTACTCTCACTGATAAATGGCAAATGAACTTTTGTTTCTAATTATTCTGGAATGTCAATTGTGGCAGAGAAAATTAGTTTAGCTTTAAAAGTTAATTACAAATAAATGTACCATGCAAATGTCAAGAGAGACTGATCCTGAAATATGGAATTTCCAAGAAGTCAGTTGAATGACTAGAGAGAGCTGTTGGCATTCTCAACCATCACAGGAAGCAGTACAAAGTCAGCAGGAGGCCTGACTCTGTTCCCAGCAGGGAGGACCAGGAGCCTTCTCTAGCCCAACCCTTCTTTGGTTCAATTCCCTGGTTTCTAAGTAGCAAGAACACTATGTGCTTTCTCTCCCATGTGAAGTCACATACATCCTCTGGTTCTGTTTTTAGGTTGTCCTCCTCTATGCCTCTACATACGTCCTGGTGTCCCTCAGCATAGACAGATACCACGCCATCGTTTACCCCATGAAATTTCTTCAAGGAGGTAAGCAGGCATTCTTTCACAAAGAGATCTTTTGATGGGGGTGGGGTTATTTTTGCTATTTTATTTTTAATATTTTCTCCCCCCAACACCCTTCTTTTTCCTCTTCCCTCTTTGTTCTCCACTTCATTTTGGGTCTAAGGGTCCAAAAGGTAGAGAAGTGAAAGCTTGGATGCTGGAGGAAATGTTTCCTCCACTCTGGGCATGCCCCAGAGCAGGCAAGGGAAGTCCTTGGTGGCCCCATGCTGTGGCTATCAGATCTTGTAGAAAGGCTTCCTTTCCACCTTTACCCATCCAGCCCTGCTGATAGATAAGCACCCCCTTACAAAGAAATGAGTGTTCTCGCTCCATGTTGTTCAATTTCTAGAAGTAAACACCTGACCCTCTTTACCCCCAAACTGTAGAAAAATTGAAAAAATACCTTTAATTTATTGAAAGTAGAGGAATACCTCCTTGGTCAAGGGTCCCTGAAATAAAGAAAATGAACTAGAGAAACCACAAACCCATAACATCCCCAGTTGATGATGGTGGTAATGCTGGGGTGGGTGCTAGGAGCACATATGGAATGAATTTCAGTGCACACTGCAGGAGTGGAGCACAGGCAGCTCAGGGGTGGGGGATCCTGAGAGAGGGCAGCTCCCAGGAGGATCAACCACAGCTGGCCTCCATCTGCCTTCTGTGCTCCCCGACCCAGCTGAGAGGAATGGAACTCTGCTTCCCAAGGGAACAGCCTAGGGATGTAGCATATGAAGAGGCTCTGTGTGGTCCAAGAAGCATCAATGCCATGGTAGGCACCTAGGTAGGACCCACAGAAAGAGCCATTGGTGTGGATGCCTTCCTCACCTTCCCACGAGCACAGGGAAACTGAAATTCTCACTATAAGGACACAGGAAAAATCAGATATATTTTTTAATGTGACAACTAAACTGAGGGAAAATATATAACTACATTTAAAATGCAATCCATGGAATTCCCACTTAAGGAAAGCAAAGTTAGTAAAGTAAGCAGAACTTTCTGGAAAGTACAGAGAATGTCATCAGAAAGCTGCAAGAAGCCAGGGGCTGTGAGGATTTCAGTGTCTATCAACATAGATAGATAGTCTGGATAATGAAGTTCTTTTTTACTGCTTTTGACTAAAGTGGCAATTTCTTTAGCCAGCAGCTCCAGAGAATTTGATACTATTATATTTTTTTAGGAAAAGAAAATATAGAAATAGTAAAATATCGGCAACACTGAAGAGAAATGTGCTGTGTTAGATATTAAAATATAATCTCAGACTCTGATAATTAGAACAAATGTTACCGAAAGCAAAATAGCATGTAGATGCACATATATAGGCACATATATTGGCATATAAAACTTCAAATCAGTTGGAAAATAATGAGTTTATTAATATATAATACTGAACTACCTCTATAGCCATTTGAAAACCATTAAATCACCACATGTCACAGCTAATTAAAAACAGGCCCCTGCTGGCCTGGAAGTGCCAAACTTCAGAAAAAAAAGTGCTAACAGAACATAATGAGAAAATTTTTATAATCTTCACAAGGAAAACATCTTTCTAGGAATCACAGCAAAAGCAGAAGCAATAAGAAAATCATGTTTCACGGTGTGAAGGTAGCAGACTACTTACACAAGTAATAAGCATCAGGAACAAAAGCAAAGAGACAAATGGGAACGTTTAAATAACATGCAAAGAGCTAATATCCTTCCTACGGCAATTTTGACAAAGACATAGGCACATCAACTAAAAAACTGGAAAACACAGATAGAAAGAGAGAAATGCAAACAGCCAGAAGACATGCAGAAATGTTCATTTTGACCATTAATTAAAGAATTGCAAGGCTAAGCACATGGAGACGGAATTTTATCAGCCAGCTAAATGAGTTTAAAAGAAACATCTCCTCGGGGTTGAGAACAGCAGGATATGGGCCACCCTGCACCTCCAGGTGGGAGCTGTGCTTTGCAGGGGGAGTCTCACTCATTTTGCTTATGAGGAAATTGAAGTGGTAGGGGACACTGAGAGGTCCCAGTGTCTCTCACACGGGTATCTGACTCTGTGGTGGACCCCATGTACACACCAAGCATGTTCCCAGTACCCAGATATCTTTCCCTTATATTTGAGCAGAGAAGCAAGCCAAGGTCCTCATCTGCATAGCCTGGAGCCTCTCCTTTCTGTTCTCCATCCCCACCCTGATCATATTTGGGAAAAGGACACTCTCCAACGGTGAGGTGCAGTGCTGGGCACTGTGGCCAGACGACTCCTACTGGACCCCCTACATGACCATTGTGGCCTTCCTCGTATATTTCATCCCCCTGACAATCATCAGGTAAGCAGCTGGTAGACCAGATTCCACCTGAGCACCTTCCTGCTTTGTCCCTTCAGATCATTCTTATCCCAAGATCCTTGAGAAAACTAGTCAGGAGCCAAGAGTCTATCTCCTGTTACCATAGGCTAACCTTATCTCTGCCAAAGCAGTGTTAGGAAACAGGGAACAAAGACTTCCTGAGAATGTGCTATATCCCAGTCTTTGTGCTAACTGGCTAACAATTATCCTATTTTTCACAGTGTAGTCCTGTGAAAAAATTTCTTCATTTTATCTACGGTAAAACCCAAGATCTTACCCAATCTCACACAGGATTGAAATCCAAATCTGTCTGATTACACATCTTGTCCTGTGCATACTTGAAACAAATTGAACAAAAAATACAACAGTGTACCTATTAGTATATACTTGAGTATGTGGACACTGGGATCTGTCCACATAAGGAACACCTCTTGCAAACCACCATTGAAGGAGGAAAAGACTCAGGTAGAAGGATATAGGGAGGAAGCAGGTTCCTTGGTGATCAGAGACCAGAAGGAGGTGGAGGCAGTGAGTGGTCAGGCAAGCAATGACAGTGGGGGAGGGGAGTTGGTAATGACCTCCCCTTGATTACTGGGGGCAGCAGGAGGAGGCAGAGTTCATTGTGAAAGGCCTTAGCAATCAAGCCACAGAATGATCTCCTGCTCCTGCAGCCACAGCAGCCCTCTCCAGGCAGAATCTCCCCGGTCACACAGTAGGACACCTGGCAACAGTAGCCCTGCCTGTGTGAACCAGTGAGAGGCTGCAGAAAAAGTACATTGGTGGCAGGTGTGTACGGGCCATAACGCTCCTATACATTTGGGTGCCCCTCTCTCACCTGCTCAGATGGGCTATCTCATGTCCTGGGAAAATCAGATCAGCCTTTCAGGTATGATGGTATAGAATGAAATTTTTTAAAATGCCTGAAATTGAAATTGCATAGGAGTCCCTGCTTATTTCTTTGGAACTCATGGAGTAGGGATTTCAAGATCCCTTGAGGACCCTTGGATGCACATTGACAAACCACTCTCTAGAAAGATGTGCATAAGACTACAGTGGAGGCAGCTCTTGGTTCCTCTTCTTCTAGCCCAATGGAAAACCATACAGTTTCTTTATTTGAGCTTTCCTAAACTGTGAAGTTAGGGAAATATACCCCATTGTTTTAAAATGTGTTCATTTTACTGATTTCGTTGCTCATTTTACTGATTGAATGTTTGTGTTTCCTGAGATCACCTGTTTGGTGCTTGATGCTCATGTTTAGTCTCAAACTCCTAGCTGGGAGGAATGTTACCCATTGCCATTTGACCTCTGACCTTTCTTCAAGTTGAATCTTAACATCCAGTGGAAGCTAACTTACTTGCTCCCTAGCTGGGTAGTGACAGTGACCAGGACAGTCAGCCAATAGCTCATCTGAGATTAGACACCAGCCAGTCCTCTTTGCTGAACTGACAAATTAACATCTACATTAATTTCAACTTAATGCCCTGCCCCCCACCACTTTGACTGTCGGAGGTCTTTAATGTAACCAGCCAAGGTTAACTATTAGCAATACTGTTGGAAGGTACAGAAGGAGAGGAGAGAGGCTAGTCTAGAAGGAGAGGCTGGAGCTTCCTAGGCAACCAAAGCATAAATTTCACTGGTAGTAGCCTATTTCCATCAGATCTGCCCTAAGGTCTATCACTATCTGAAATTTCTTTCTCAGATTAATTTGGGCTGCATTACACTAGGACAGTTCCTCCAGCTTGCCTGCCATTTAACTCATGGATTTTTAGCATCCTTGAAAAGACAACACAGAGTTTGGGAAATGGTTTCAAAAGGAAGCTTCACTCAGCTCTCATCAATGCAGAGCCTCTGTAAGGACTGCTCCTGCTGCTGGCTCCTGCCTCCTAGTAGTGACCTCACTTGTCCTTGAGCTTCTCTGAGGCATTGCCTGTCTGGTGGGAAGCCTGTGGCTCATCCATCAGCTTAGCTGAGAACTAGCTTTTCTCTCTTGGGGAAATGGCATCCTCACCTCTTGAACCAAACTCAGGCCCAGGGGGAATGTTGTGAGGAATTTATTTTCTATTAACTCCTTCCTGGTATAGTTGCTATAATTTCATATGAATCTCTCAGATCTAACCTCTCTCTCTCTCTCTCTCTCTCTCTCTCTCTCTCTCTCTCTCTTTCTCTCTCTCTCTCTCTCTCTCTTCCCCTTTTCTTCTCTCTCTGTTTTCTGCTCTCTCTCACATATAC